TATTTAGATTTAAATAATTAAAAAAAGAGGCAGGGGGGGTAAATCAAAAACATATGTGAGACGAACATAAAATCAAGATTACCCGGAAAACTTGAGAACCTCAACAAATCTATTATTAGGAACTAGTCTTTCTTAAAATACAAATAAAAATATATTTGAGATAAAAAAATTCTTATTTTTTTTAAGTAAAAAATAAGCAACTGTCGGAAGATTATCGTTAGAGGAAACCATCAATCTAGGAAAATGATAAGAAAATGAGCCCGATTCCAATAGTTAACAATTGGTACCCACCATGCAACATACTCAAATATATCTTAACAGTCCTTTTGAAGAAACATTATTCGATAAAGAGGAATGATACCTTCTTCCTGTATAACATTCTTTATTTAGAACACATTGAGGACATAATAAATAGAACTCATAAAAATGCATCAAACCATATTAATGGCCTGTAAACTTGTAAACTTGTTCCAATCAGAAGTAAGCCTAGTTTAAAAGTTTATCTACCAAGTAGAAGCCTTCAATGTGTATATTTTAGCAACATAAAACTTTGCTCAAGAGACTGTAAAAGATAATTTCAGTATCTTTATATATCATCAAATAATCATATTTCAAGCCAAGTGTTCAAAAGCTTGAAAGTTCTCATGCAAAAATCGTTGAGAATTTTCCCTCCCTCTTCAAAACTAAAGTACAAACAAGTTCTTTAACGGATTAATATGTACATGTGTACTAGTAGTGCTTGAAAAGCGGATTAGTACATGAGGCAAAACCAAAGGCCAAGACGTGGCGATTACTAAAAATTGACTCCAGTCTTTAAAAACATTTCATTACAATCCATCGACCATGTGTAAGATATATAAAAGCATGGATGGATGAATGTGCTGCCAGATTACAACCCCTGGAAGATCAATAAAAAAACTGCAACACCAAATATCGCAATAGAAAAATTCCAAGATTTGATCGTAACCACCCGGTCATGTCCTGGGAACAAAAATTCTTTTATTTAAATGTGTAAGATGCTCAGATATGCATTCAGTGCAAACACAAAAGATTTTCGTAAATATTTAATTCTATTTATATATTTTGCATCTTTAACTTTAACAGAAAATACAACTTATTTTTTAATATTTGTAGAATTACTAGTTAGGGGGAGCACAGATTAGTTCCAGATTCCTTGATTTTGTGATTTAAAATTTGTATTCTTAAACCTTCAACCTTTGGACGTAGCAGGATTTGTCAGTTTAAAAACTTAATTTTTACGCATTTTTGTTACCTGTTTAATGTGTTTACTTGTTTGTCTTACACTTTTTTGTTCGTTTTACACATGTTTACATGTTTGGTTTATAAATACGTTTCCTTGTTTGGTTTGATAAAGATAAGGCTTTCAGAAATTTTCTAAACTAAATCTAAAATCTATGTTTCCCCCGCAACATTGGATAAGATTTAAAGATAAAACTGAAAGAAAATATCCAGCTTTGAAAACAAAAAGTGCAGAATCTCAGATTCCAGATTTTATCTCAGTCTTTCAACTTTAAATATTAAACAAACAACATATTTAGAACTTTGAAAAGTGATCAGAACGACAGATATTTCGCACATCATGTTCACTAATAATAAAAAAAAAGATTTGCCTGTATCTTTATTATATAACTTACCAAATGGATTTAGAAAACTGTTCAAAATTACTAAAATGATGTTGAGGATCTCAAAATCTGTGAGCTAACCATACTATTCCGTTCAAAATTTCGAACAATTATCCCAATTTCAAATTACTTTCGATAAGTTCTAAATCAAATTACAAAAGCTGCTAGAGTTACTAACTTACATAAATCCAGACTGCCATTAGAAGTTGCAAGAATCTTTAGGACTGAGTCGACTTTAAAGTGTCGTCACGCCACTGCCTTAGATTTACCAAACGCACTCACGTTTATACTTTTGTAGAGCCATGTCAAGCACATTGTTTTAGCTTTAGCTTTTAGAAAGTAGTTGGAAAACATTCTCGTCGATTTTTGTGTGATGCTTGGATCACTGTGAACAGGTTGTGATCACTAACAAAATCTCATCCATGGAAGAAATAAAAATACTTTAAAAACTAGTGATATTTTTTATTTAATCGTAAATCAACAACTCGAATTGTTTTCTTATTTGGATTACATTTTATAAAAACAAATATTTTTAAAAATCTAAAGAATAAAGAAAATTATTCCGTTTGGCTTCTCGGCGGATTTGCAACTATGGTTTTGCATGCCAAAATTGCAAGGGTTGATAGATGGATATTCAAAATATTATAAAACTTGTTTTTGCAGAAAGTTTTGCAAAACTTTCCATTTAATTTCTCTCTGTGCTTATTCCCTAATCCTTTTATCCATGTTGTTCTTTTATTATAATTTCAGATTTGCTAGATTAAATTAAACAAAAATAAATATTTCAGGATTTAAACTAAACCTTACAATTTCAAATTGTATTAAATTTAACAAAATTAAGTTTGACTGAGAGCCCTCCCCCCCCCTTCCCTCTGAGTCTTATTTATATGTATGTTTTTCATGTTTTTTTCTTAAAAAATCTATTTGAGAAAAGCAAAATTAGAAAGTAAAATTTTGGTCATTTACATAAAATGGCAACTTTCTTAACTCGAATTCATCATATTAGAAGAGGAGTTTTAAAACATTATTTAATCACAGTATCGGGGCAGAGGTGATAATTTTTAAATGGAATTAATTAATTCAAGTCAAAGTCGGAAAAAATCAGATATCTCAAAGCTTAATGAACAGCAAATATTTTAAAAAGTTCAAATTGAAAACATGTTTGCAAACTATTTTAGAGAAGTGACATAAAACAAACCTAAACAACCCCCCACCCCTCACTTCTTCNCAGCCTTTTCTCCTGAACCCCCCCTCTCTCACTTCTTCCTTCTTTATTTCTGAGTTCACCACCCTTTTCTTCTGAACCCCCCCTCCCTCTCACTTCTCCCTTCTTTATTTCTGAGCTCACCACCACCCTTTTCTTCTGAACCCCCCCCGTCTCACTTCTCCCTTCTTTATTTCTGAATTCACCACCCTTTTCTTCTGAACCCCCTCTCACTTCTCCCTTCTTTTTTTCTGAGTTCACCACCACCCTTTTCTTCTAAACCCCCCCTCTCATTTTTCCCTTCTAAATGAATGAAGAATGAAGATAGTCCAATGAATGTATCTTCTAATCCTTACATCTTCGCCACCTGATGGCGTACGTCATTGATACTTCAAACTTTGTCTATTTGATTCAATATCATACATAGTTTGATATATCTAAGGTCTACGACATTGGGTTGCAACGACATTGAGATTAGGCAAGTTTGATGCAAAAGCTCAATTCCTCACTTAATAACTATTAACCTTGAAGATTGTTTTAATGTCGTCTTCCATTTTAATGTTTATTTAGATTTAAATAATTAAAAAAAGAGGCATTGAAAAAACAACATTACCCCTAAATCTACTTTAAATTTGTTGAGAGATGTTTTGCAAAAATTGTTTGCAATTTACTCAGCTTACATAGTTTTAAATATCACTTGCATTCCTTAGTATCAGCTGATTTAAATTCTGCAAACCGGACATAAATAAATCACAATTTTATTCTATGTGCATTTTTTAATTTGAAAACAGTTTTTTTAAATTACCGAAAATGCAAAAACGAATATGTCTTTTTCTAATCATTAAAAGAATACTTTATTTTGTCTCGATCAGGCGTTTTACATTTTCTATCGAAATTTACAATTTATATTGTGAAAGAAAAGTAAAGTTTAAGAGTATTTACTCCCCCTGCCTCTCCTCGTCTCCCTTGTTGTTGTGCGTAATCTATAGTTTGGGTCAGCTATTAGTAAAATTAGGTTTGAATGACCGGCTGTAGCTAGCAGCTGGCCGCTAGCCTCAATACAGGTGATTAAATCTGAAAACTAGGAGTATTCTTCAATTCATTGAACAATTCCGTATTTTTTAACCCAACGAATTTATAGATATTAAACCTTATGTAACATGGTCTGAATTGAGTCTTTGTCACAAACTCTTCTAATGTCGTAGACTATACATATTTAAAACTATGGATTCAATCTAAGCTTTACACCATCAGCGACCAGAGTCCGAATTTAATGAATTAGAGTCGCGTCTCAATTCTCCCAAAAACCGGTTTCAATTAAGCGCTGGCTAAAATCTTGAAACATTTTAAGTTGGTTCAACCATATTTGAGCCGCAGCTTAAATTTAAGCCGGATACTCCTTTAAAAATTTTCTTAATTATCTCTTTGTGGATTTGCAGTGAAGGATTTAATATAAATTTTTAATTAAAATTTACTCATTGGGTATCCAGTTCAGCCGATGCGGCTCAGCGCAGTCCCAACCAAAAGTTTTGCCTCATTTTTGGTGAAAACTGAGGCCGAATTTAAAGAATTTGAGCCGCTGCTAAAATCCGCCAAAATCGGGTTTAAATTAATCGCCGGCTTAAATCTTGAACATTTGATACAATTTTAAGTGGAACCAATCATATTTAAGCCGCGGCTTAAATTTAAGCCGCCGCTCAAATTCTTTGAATTCGGCCTCTGTTTCTGTAAAATTTTTCTCTACTCCTAGGTGTGGAGAATGCGAGCCTAATTTACTGAGAAAACATATAAATGATCTAACTTATGTATTTCAATTTTCATAAAAAAGATTAATCTTTTGCAGTTTGTAATTTGATAATATAAAAATTACGGATTAAAGATATTTTTTAAAAACATTTATAAATAAGATGAAAATCTTTCACTGCCCACCATCAGGGCATAATAGAGATATAGTATGCATCTCTTTTCTTTGAGGAAAATTGTTGTAAGAAATGACAATACATATCAAATTGTGGAGTTTACAACATTTCCTACACTTTATTCAATATGTTATACCAATATCTTACTATTATTAGGCTTTTAGGCCACTTCGCGCACACTTTCCTTGGCTTTTAGGCCACTTCGCGCACACTTTCATTTAACATGCTGTTTAATCGTTCTCTAATTTTAGCGTTGAACTCCCCATGTTTAATCGTTCTCTAATTTTAGCGTTGAACTCCCCATGTTCACTCGTTCTTTAATTTTAGCGTTGAACTCCCCATGTTCAATCGTTCTCTAATTTTAGCGTTGAACTCCCCATGTTCAATCGTTCTCTAATTTTAGCGTTGAACTCCCCATGTTTAATCGTTCTCTAATTTTAACGTTGAACTCCCCATGTTCAATCGTTCTCTAATTTTAGCGTTGAACTCCCCATGTTTAATCGTTCTTTAATTTTAGCGTTGAACTCCCCATGTTCAATCGTTCTCTAATTTTCGTCGCGAATTTTTCTGTTTAAATCGGTGCTTTTCAAAAATACAATATTTCGACATTTTTTCCTGGCAAAATTTTCCATTTGATTTAACCAGCCATAAACTCAAAGTCTCAAAGATTTTGGACTCGATCGGTTTAACGTTTATTGTATACAAACACACAAACAGACACACAGATAGACAAGCAAAGTATATAACTAGAAGTCGAACCCCATTCTTTTCATGGTATTATATATCTTACTCTTTAAAAAAAATTGTTCTATGAATGTATTTTACTACATGAATACCAAAACCAGCCAATCTAAATACCTTGTATTAATCTTTCTTAATCCCCCCCAACAACACCCCTTCATACTGAACAGGATATTTGATCTGTCGACTCCTCCCCTCTCCGTACCCCTCCCCCCACTCCTCCCCTCTCCTCAGCTCTCAAAGTCTTCTCCTCTCCGTAGCTCTCCCACTCCACCCCTCCGTAGCCCCTCCCACTTCTCTGTCTCTGCCCCTTCCAACTCAATCTCCGCCCACAAAAAGTTTCTTTTAAGACTAAGCCTTGTGAGAAAAATTTAATTTAGTTTGAAAATGTCTGTTCTTATAAAGCAAGAAGAGAAGAGAAGTGTTGGCTGAACAACTTGTAGATCCAGCTTTTTAGTTCCATAATAGGTGTTAGGCAATATAACAATATAGCTCCATAGTAGGTGTTAGGTAATATAACAATATAGCTCCATAGTAGGTGTTAGGTAATATAACAATATAGAAACTAAACTAAACTAAACTAAACTAAACTAAACTAAACTAAACTAAACTAAACTAAACTAAACTAAACTAAACTAAACTAAACTAAACTAAACAAAACTAAACTAAACTAAACTAAACTAAACTAAACTGAACTAAATTAAATTTAAATTTAAATACAATACTAAACAGCCTAATATTAAATGCCGGTTAAAACAATATCTGTGGAAAAAAAGACTAGAAAAAAAATGAAAATGGACAAAGATAAACAGCTTTTATCATCCATCAAACATGAGTTACGGATTAGGTTCCCTTAAATCTGATAAGTTATGTGGTACCATGTATTTAGTTGCTTATTTTCTGTGAGACGCGGACCAATGGTTTATTAACATAAAGCGCTACTATTTTGAGCTACAGGATTGCAGTTATGAACGCTTATGTTCTTTTTTAGTGCTGTGATTGTATATTTTATTTCTTCCAAGAAATGAACTCATATTGAAATTTTTAATTTTTTTTTGCGAAGAAGTAATGTTTTGTTGCACGCCCTGTAAATTGTTAAAATTACCTTAGCTCCCTCCGGACACCTGAGATGAGTAAATTCTCCATCACAAGCTGCAGATTGCCAGGTCTGCAAGGTACTAGATAACTGGGCAAATGGATCCTCACGAACCAGCTGATACTGCCCATCAGCTCGCAGGACGGGTTGGAGGAGGAGGAGGAGAGGGATAAGGTTTTGTTCCATCTTACTCCGGCATAGTTGAGAGGAGAGTTGGGGTTAGACTGCGGAGAAAGCTCTTGCTCTGGGGGTAACACATGTGCCCGGCAGCAGATTACTCTACGGAGCTCTCTCTCTCTCCATCCGTCTCCCCTCTACCCTTCCCTTACATCTCTTCTACACCCCTTGTACATTCCTGAAATACGCCTGGTAAGTACCTAGATTATACAGTTATGCAAACTACATATATGCGACGCTAACAACAAATTATTTGCATTTATTATCCTTTGATCCAGGGTTGGTATCAGGGTTGTTTCAGGGGTGTTACAGGGCTCTAGAATCAGACTTGTATCATGGTTGTATCATGGTTGTATCAGGGTTATATCAGGGATGTATGAGAGGTGTATCAGGGTTGTATCAGGTGTGTATCAGAATTGCGTCAGGCTTGTATCAGGCTTGCGTCAGGGTTGTATCAGGCTTGTATCATGGTTGTATCATGATTGTATCATGGTTGTATCAGGGTTGTATCAGGGTTGTATCATGGTTGTATCAGGGTTGAATCAGGATTGTATCCAGTTTATATTATGCTTGACTCAGGGTTGTGTAAAGGCTGTATCAGATATTGTAAGATTAAACCGTATGTTTGATGAACCTGATACGAAACCGAATAAATCCTTGATCTAACCTTCATTCAGATCTACTTCAATAGAAAAGAAACAGGGAGTAATATTCATAGAAATATCTGGTTTTTATTCTGTTTGCATTAAGTTTTTTTTTCTTAATTTCTATTTTTTATTATTATTTATTTCTTTATTTTATTATTATTTATTTAATTATTTGTAATTTCACAATCAAGCAACGCGGGGCACTTCAGCTAGTTATATATAGGGCAAGCTGTAATGAATATATCTATCTATAATGTATATTATATTTTTGTGCGTCCACAATGGGCCTCCTTGATGGTGGTTCTAAGTACTAAGTCCTCAATATCCTGAATATGCGTCATGAGAGGCCATATTGTTTATACCTCCGACCTCATTAATGTGTGTAGATAAATGCGTCACTAATAAATGTTGTCAATTAAATAGAGGGACCATGTGAGTACATATTTCCAATAGGACATCCTAGATTCATTGATTTATTAAGGTACAGGGCTACCCAAGAAGGATGAGATTTTAGAGAGCATTGTACGGAATTTGTTCAGTCCGTTTTCTTATAGGCCATGTGCTTAATCATTTAGTTAACAACCAAAATAGTCAATTGACTACCGAAACCAAGAATCAACTTTTAATTCGTCATATTTTTAGAGTTATGGGTCGTCTTTACGATCTCATCCTTTGTGGGTAACCCTGTATTAGAAATTTGTTCCATGCCCAAGAAAGATCTAGAAAATCCTAAAAATGTCTTTCAATAATGAATGGACAGACAAATTGATACAATGACAGAAAGTGATAGATTTGAAAAACTATTTCAGTAAATAGATTTCTATGGAATGTAGGTAACTGAAAATCTCTTTCTCTACCTACACTGAGCTACATAATATTTTATCCAATAATAAAATAAATATGTCAAATAGCAAATTTTGAAAAAGTAATAATATGTTTTTATAATAAAAATAAACAGATTTGCAGTAGAACTATTATGGAATACGCTTACAAAATTACAATTGTTGAATTCAAGTACATTACAATCTACTGATATTTAAAGGTTCTTTAATTTTCTAAACAACAGCATCCTTTAAATCTTTCTCCGACCAAGAAAAAATTAGACATCCCTATTTACTATCGGACAATGAATCATGTTCAATTGTGCTTTTTCTATAAACTATTAAAGGTTAAAAGGGTACTGTTGTCAATCTAACACGACATTGGTTAAACTGAAGGGTTATTTAAAATCACGTGTCCAGTCACTGTCATGAAATTTTTCAACTAAATACAAACTGAAAGTCCTTACAAATAGAGATATTGTTTTGCACTTACTAAAATAGTATGGTTTACCGTTCTTCGTTTTTCTTTCCGAAAACAACTGAACAGCGTGTGAAAAATAAAAAAATGGTGGAAGGGTATTATCTCGGATCACAAGGCTGTTGGATGAATACTGAATAGATATTTTATGTCAACTGCAGAAGTTTTATTGTTTTTAAGTCTTTTTATATCTTTTAAATTAGATATGACTTGGGTAGTTAAAAGAACTTTAGGCACATATCATACAACAAGTTTGTATTTTCTCTCGTAGAAGGAGAAAGGAGGAGAAGGTTCAGATCTTGTTTCTAAATAAGATATCTGATATTTATCAATTCAAAACATATGGGTATTCATGCTTTAGGTAGGGCAAGGGGGAGGGTATTTCGGGTTGCGGATCCTATATTTGAGATCCCAGTACAGGGACGGGGGGGG